GGAGGAGGAGGAGGAGGAGGAGGAGGAGGAGGACTGTAGGGTCATTGGTGCTCTCTGAGCTTGGTGATTTTCTGGCAGACATTTCATTATCCAACTAGATAAGATTATCAGTGTTAGAAGGGTGTGGGGTCTGGAGAGGAGGAGGAACTGTGGGATCCTTGGTGCTTTCTGAGTTTGGCTGTTCTCTTGCAGGCATTTCATGACCCCACTAAGAAACATCGTCAGTGGTACACAGGTGTGGTCTGCTCGCTGTAAACTCTGTAGACAAAGCACTGATCATACTACCTCGTTGGGTCATGAAACATCTGCAAGGAAATCACCAAACTCCAGGAGCACCAAGGACCCCACCATTCAACCCTGACCTACAAAGAGTCTCTTCTATTGGCAGTAATGCTTCTTATTTCCTTAGCGCAGACAGAAGTGACGTCACACCCTTCTCCCGAATTAGAGTTTGCGGTTCCCAACAGTTCTTTTCCCCAATTAATTGAGAGGAAAACATTTTCTTGGGATTATCCAGGATGTGTAGAGAAGTGCATCCAGCATTACTCACTCTGGCACACCTTCGACATGTTGCGAAGGACGCAACGAGGGTAGCGGGATGCCAAACAGCCCCGAGGTTGGAAAACGCCCCGTTGGAGCCTTCTGTAACAAAGGAAAGAGCAATTAAACCGTCAAACTGTTGCCTTGATAGCTACATATTTATTTCCTTTAGACGGTGCAATTTTGTAAAAAAAAAATCCACTGACGTTTATAGCCCAGCAAACTGGAACATTGGGAGGATACAGTTAGTCCTCGACTTACAAAAGCTCATTTCGTGACCCTTCGAATTTACCACAGCACTGAAAAAAGTGACTTACAACCGGTTTGGGCACTTAGGACCAGAGGTGGGCTGAGACCGGTTCACACTGGTTGTCACAAACAAAAAGAGATTTGGGCAGCCATTTGTCTGGAATGGCATACGGTCTCCTGCTTGAGAAGGGGGTTGGACTAGAAGGCCTTCAAAGTCCCTTCCAAGTCTTATTCTGTAATCTCAGATCAATTAATCAATGGAACAATTTTCCTTCAGAAGTTGTGAGTGCTCCAACACTGGAGGTTTAAGAAGAGACTGGACAGGGGTCCCCAAACTTGGCAACTTTAAGACTTGTGGACTTCAACTCCCAGAGAAGCTGGCTGAGCAATTCTGGGAGTTGAAGTCCACAGGTCTTAAAGTTGCCAAATTTGAAGTCCACAAGTCTTAAAGTTGCCAAGTTTGGAGTCTACAAGTCTTAAAGTTGCCAAGTTTGGTGTCTACAAGTCTTTAAGTTGACAGGTTTGGAGTCTACAAGTTGCCAAGTTTGGAGTCCTCAAGTCTTAAAGTTGCCAAGTTTGG